TCACTATTTTTAATTTGTTTTTAACAAAATTTCTCATTTTACAATAAAGAATTTTTCACCTGTTTTGTTTATAAATAGCAACTGTTTCTGCAATTTGTTACACCTGTTTGTTGGTTTTATTTACATTTATACTTTCACTTCCAGTTATTTGAAAGTGTTTATCTTTAAATAATTGAATTTACTAAACTATCTTGCATATAATTTTTATTTTATGAATAAAATTAATTCTCATATATATTAAAGTATTTTAAAGTTATTTTCAAAAGAAAGGAATATAAAAAAATGATGAAACACTTCTAAATAAATCTCTAAATTATCAGTCTGATGTACAGTACAGTTCAGTGCATTCTATTAATTTTATTTATTTGTTTTTTGTTGATCTTCCAGTTTTTAAATCTTAGCTGGGTTTAATTGCCTTTTTTGTACTCTAAAGTTTGTTTTGAATCAATTTTCTCATCTGTTCACTATATTAATTTTAAAGTGTTTTTCTCAGTGCTGTATGCATAATAAAAGACAAAAATTCAAAATATCTAAACACTATATTTTTAAGGATATATTTTGATCAGCTTTTTTAATTAACAAAACTAATTTGGCAGTTATGCTACAATGTTAACAATTATATTAATTTTAGAATTAAGTTTGATTATTAGAATTTAGATTTACTTTTTATATATGACTAAAACTCAATAATAGAAAGTTTCAGAATATTTTGAAAATTTATTCAGTTGAAAAGATTAATTCTGTGTAAAAGTCATACTTAGAAAAATGTAGAAAGGATATTTTAAAATGTATGATCATTTTGTTCATTCTTTGAAGAACAGTGTAAACCAGGAAGGTCTAACCTTCAGCCTTTGTGCTAAATATGATTCTGAAGCATCTTTATCTGGTGTGCATTCCTGTTTTCACTGACACATTTTGATATCAACAATTGTATTAGTTCAAAGCATACTTTTGAAAATCACTAGAATTAATAGACCTTGCCGCAAATGATTTTTATAAGACACCTACTTAAAAAAGGGAGTTTGTTAAATTTTTAAATCTCTGCCAGAAGAGAATTTGAAGTCTTAAGAACTTTTTATGGGGAATATTTTCTATTTTTGCTTTGCAAATGAATTTTTTTGAAAATCAAAATATTGAACATTACTATGCAATGAATAGCTAAATATGGTTTTAATTTTGGGTGTCATAAAATTTATCTCCAATTTTAGTGACATTTTTCAAAGAAACAATTGCAAATTTTGCCATGATTTATGTCTGTTGAGATAAAAAATTCTTAATCCTTGACTGTGTCTTTTATACTTGATGTGAGACACATCTTTTTACAGCTCACATGGCCTGTACTATAATACTTCTGACATATTTTACAATTTTGTAGGTAATGCAATTTCCAATTTTTCATTTATTAAAATGATATTCTTATTGACTATTATTTTGACTATTATTGACTTCTTTTATATACAATGTTATATATAAAAATAATAATAATTAAATTGCTAAAATAAAACTTTTTAAAGTGTTTAAATAAATAATATGATATAGTGAGACAAAGTACTCTGGACTTTGCTTTATTGAAAAGTTGAAAAATAATAAGAAACAATAATAATAAGTATAATCTTCAATTTTCAAAATTTAATTAGTCTGTTTTATTTAAACACATTTAACAGTTTGTTTTATCAGGTACGGTACAGTACATGTAGAACATTATAATCATGCTGAATAGTTTGTCAGAGGAATGCGTTTTTTTCAGCAAGCTGAAAACATTTGTGTAAATAAATGTTCACTAAATCTTTTTTTATCTATTATATTGGTAAATGTGGATTGGACATTATGATTTGTGTACAATATTTAGATTTAGAGATTTTAGTTTAATTTATTTTATTCAGTTCTATCAATTGAGAATTTATTAAGTTTTTACAAAGTAGTATAAAAAATTTTTTTTGCTGTTAAAGTCCAAAAGAAATCAATTTTATTTAAAAATTTTTATATCAATATATGTTTAGAATATTTAACTAAAATTGTCAAACATTTTTTCAATTATCCAAAAAAAAAGCCAAACCAAGAATTGATGAAGCATCATGAAATTTTTAAACAAGTGAGAAAAGTACCCTTAGTACTGTATATAAATCTATTTGCAGAAATTTTCATCCTGGAATTCTTATCAAATTTCATAGAAACATGCATAAACTGCTGCATTTACTTGTCACTTTTTTCAGATTGTAGCTCTGAAAATGGGCTATGTCTTAGAATCCAAATTAATGTGTCATAATTAGAGGCACATGGCACTGGAGGTTGCTACTTCTCTGTCACTAATTCCATTGTAAGTGAGCATGCAGAAATTAATGTGCATCTTAGATTTGAGTAAATACAATATTCAGTAGTTAACATGAAAATTTTATTCTTTAAAAATGCATCAAATAATATTTGATATATCTTTATTATAATCAAAGTAAAATAGTCTTTCAGAAGAAATTAAAACATTGTAAAGACACATTTTTATTTTAATAAAACAAATAATATATATTATATAACCAATTAATAAAATCAAAATAGCCACTACATTTAAGTTAATAAAGCAAGCCATTTACTCTATTTTTTTAACAGTGTGTAACAGTTACTCACTATTAAAGGTATATTGTTTGCTTTATAACAAATTAAGAGCAAGATATAAATGTATTTACCATGATTCCTGTTCAGAAGTCAAAAAAATGATTTATATGCACTGGTGCATAATAATGCAAAACATTGTAAATAGTATTGAACTTGATATTACTAATGTGGGGTTTAGATAAGTAACATTCCTAAACTGTTAAGAAAATAAATTTACAAGGGATTGCAGGGGAGACGAGGAGAACAGGAGAGAAGGGATAAGTAAGGGGAGAAGTGAACAGGATGATAGTTGGTGACAGTGCGAAAGTAAGAAAGGACAAAAAGATGTTACGAAGGCAAGAATATTATCATTCTATCAAGATGTTTATGAATGCTGGATTATTGTCATTTCTAGTTCTCTATCTCAATCACTATTCCTACAAATTTTGGGGCTCGTCCGGGATATTAAGAATTCATACAAGAACTTTTAGAAGGGCAATGGAGTCCAGACAAGATGGTGGAGTTAGTGACACTGTAGTGAACAATGAATAACTATGACTGACTGTTGTAACTAAGGACAATACGATGATGGATGTGAAACATCTTAAATGTGTTGATCTGAAAAGCGAACTAAGACAATGAAAATTGAAAACCATGGGTAGCAAGAGAGAGTTTGTGCAAAGATTGGAGGTGGTACTTTTGATTGAGAATGTCAGAGACAACGACATGCAAAGCAACGGTGATGCTGACGAAAGTGAGGATGAAGATAGTGATATTATGCAACATAGAAGTAAGTACTCTTTTAGCCAATGTTTACCTTTAGAGATGTTGATGAATCCCTTGAAACGTTCAGTGGTGACTACAGAAAGAATGTCGTAAAATGGATCTCTAGTTTTGAAAACAAGGTGGAAATATGTAACTGGAATGGCATGCAGAAGATAATTTATGCAAAACGACTACTCAGAGGTTCAGTAAGGGTCGCCCTATGTTTTCCTGTTCAGTGTGTCATTGTTTCTCATTGTGTGAGCATTGCCCTGTGCATCTAGCCAAACAATTCCATTACTTTCCTTTCCTTTTAGCTCCATCGTGGGACAAAAGAAAGTTTTCAGAGCCAGCAGCCCTTCAAATGCCATGTTAAATGTTCATTTATTCTTTATATTAGTCTTTTATACAGTAATACCCCAAACTTACTCAATAGGTGGGACCGAGCGATAACCGCGTAAGTCGGGGTATAATTTCGCATATAAATACATACAAATAATTTTTAATTGGGGCCGGCGACTAAAGAAAACAATAATTTAGAAAATAATGTTTAATAAAATCTTAGATAATATGTATGTATAACAAATTAGGCCTATATTATTTTACAATTTTTCACATTTACTTGATTATTACGCCATAATTTTAACATTGTTTCCATCTCAGCGATAATACTGTGACGTTTACGAATGATGCTTGAATTTAAAGATTGAGCATTTTTCACAGCTTCGAGAATTTTTTCTTTGCCTTTTATAATTGTTCTGACCGACAATTCCGGTAGATCAAACTTCTTTGCCAATTCACAAATTTTCATTTTTGTATCGAAGTCTTTAATAATGGGTACGTTCGTAAAGTCAAACGAGTTAAACGCGTTAGTAACGAATCGTTCGAAAAGTCTAACGAAATAGGAATAACGATGACGTCATTCTCGTTTAACTCGTTCGACTTTACGAACATACCCAATGTTAACTTTACATTCCAAAGATAAAGTTTTTCTTTTCTTGTTTGATGCAGAAGAATTAGTTTTACTTCATTTGGATGACAAAGTAAAGTCTCTCGAGTCTCCATAGATATAACAAACACAGAAATAAATAACACAAAATGAATTGTAGCTATGTGTCGATTCCGCGCGACACATCCGAACACGTAAGCTGAACAATAGTGTGGGAGAAGTGAGTAATCAAGGGTTGTGTGGCACTCAAACAAAAGACGAATTGACGAGATTTGAAAATTGCATAACTCCGGGGTAGCGTAAGTCAAGGTATTACTGTATTCATTTTATATTAATTTCTTATTGTTTTTAGTATTAAAATACTATATTCATTCTCTGTAAAATCTATTTTTGGTATGTATTTTGGAGTGTCTAGAACGAATTAATTGGATTTACATTGATTCATATGGAAATAATTGCCTTGGTTTTCCTCGGTTTCAGATTTTGCCGATTGTTTTCGGATGGATTATCGACGAAAACTGAGGTATCACTGTACTAAAGTAAAAATTAATATATTCAAATACATTATAATTTTAAAACAAATACTTATTGTATAAATTAAATTGTTGATTTAAATTAAACCAAAATAAAGTTATATTTTATACTTGATTCAAAGTTGTTTTTAAACCTGTATCTAATGTCTATTTTATTTTTATCATTCTAGTACACCACTGGGTTACAAGAATCCAGTCTGGGCCAAAGCAGGCAGAGAACTTAGACTGTTGGCAGAAAAATTTGCCAAGAGTGAAGAGAGGAAAGCAGTCAGAGCAAGAGCTAATCAAGTGAGTTACTTTTTTCAGAAGTAAAATTTTTAAATGCATATTGCTTTCTATTAAATTTCCATCAGGAAAGTGAATGATTTTATAGACTATCATTAACTTTTAAATATTTATTAATAAATTTTCATGTACAAAATTTCAAATGTTGTTTGTTTGTCATTTATGTTTTGAAGATGGCATAATGCAAATGATCCTCATTTATGCACAAGCATTCTTTGTATCTTCAAAGTATGTTGTGCCATTCTGTATGTAATATACTTTGAAAACATATTTCATGTTTTCAAGTGAATGGGAGTCACTTTTATGATGTCATTTTCAAAACATAAGTGACAAACTATGATGATAGAAATCTTTTACATAAAAATGTTAATAAATATTGAAAAGTTAATAATAACCTATTTATAATCACTTGTTTTCCTATAGATTTTGTATATTCCAAGTTTGCTTTTAAATTATGATGAAACCCTGTTATACATTTTTCAAGTGAACTGAGAGAAAAACTACTTTTGAACTGCTTTTGAAGTGAATATAGTCATTGCAAAGGTATAGTGCAGCACAAATTAACATTAACAACTATATAAATTAACTGAATTTGTATAGTTGTATGTATAATTCTTAACAAAAAATTTAATTAATATATATACTATATAATACATTTGAACAACATATAAAAGGGAAAGTAAAACAGTCTGAAATCAACTCATGATTTTAAAAAGTTGATCAAGTTTTATTTGTTTCTCATTTTTTTTAAATTAATAGACTTGTCTGATACAGTATGTGACATTAGTTATTTCCTTTTGCCGAAACTTATCATGTAAATGAATGAAGTTATTCTAAAGGTTAGCTCACATTGATATGGAATAATTTCAAACATTGTTTGCCATTTATGTGAAACAAATAAACCAGAAAGTGATTTTTATTTGCATATCAAAATTGGTTCACATTATGAAAATTTTCACTTTCCACATTTTAATGTGTGGTGATGTGCTAAATGGGAAAATTTTCAGACCAGAAAGAGTAAAGCAGATAATACATAACATATGACAACACAATGCATATTATTTGCATCTGCTGGTAATTTACCATGAGTTTGGACTAAGTTGAAGTGAAAACCTAATTCACCTTTTCATTTTTTTTAATAATTGCCTTAAATTTTTCCATTTTAAAGTGAATAAATCATAGGTTAGAAAAAGTGCTGTATGGTGCTGAAAAATATGACACGTAAGTGTAAAATCATATAAATGAAAAATGTGTAACTGAAGTGTTTATAATAGAGGAAGTACCAGTGCAGAAAGCAATGTATAATTGTGAAAAACGTACAATGGAGAAATGTATAAACAGGGTTGATTATCTATTTGGAAATAAAATAAATATTTTATTAATTATTGTAATTATTATTAATTTTGATTAATAGATGCCCAAACTCTTATAGAATGAAATATTTGTGTTTGTTCAATTTTAATATCTTAAATTGACATTTTATTTCACAAATTGGCAAATTAGAAATATTGTAGAAGCATTCTTCCATCAGATGTTATGACAATATTTTCTGATTTATCTTTGTAAGGAAGAGAGCTTTATTGATCATAAAATAGCAAAGTATGTTGTTTATTTTTGTGTAATGCTTTTTGAAAATTTCAATGCAGAAGTTTTTGCTTTTTAAAAGATTTATAAAAAAAAAATTTGGCAGTATATATAAGGTTCTCACTTTTTTAGATTCAATTATTTAAACTTTTTGAAACTATTATTAATTCAGTGTTAGGAGAATTTTTTTCAGTTCATTTCTTTACTTTTTAAATATTGATAGTTTATTATTATTGTTGTTGTTTAAAAATAATAGAGTAATTCTATTAACTTATCTTTTCATCTATTATTTCTATGAATATCTGACATTAATATAAAAATAACTTTTATCTTTATTCTTACAAATGTATTCAGAAGCATCAATTTTTTACAGGCATATGTGAACATTGATAAGTAATTAAAATTCTCTTTGTAGCAGTGGTGCATCTAGAGGGGGACCAAGGGACTCTGGCACCTCCTAAAGTAAAAGGAAAACATCACTAGTAAATTTTTCAAAAATTTTTCTTATTTAAATTCATTTTTTGTTTATATTATGTCGTATCTTCTATTACTTATGAATTAGCAGTTGCATAAGGTGAAAATTTTATTGAATTTGCATTAAAAAGTTTATCTGTACTGTCTCTATCATCAGATAAGATTAAATTTTGAGTGCACCACTGCTTTGTAGTAATAGTTATTCTTACATACTAATTGGATGTGTGTTGTCATTTCTCAGTTTACTATTTTAAGTTGTTGAGTCTTAATGGGATATTTAAAAAAATAATTTTTTCAAGGAAATCTATTAGATTTTATTAACTATGTCAAGTGATAGTAAACTGAGAAATGACTGTATGTATATATTAAATATTTAATTACAATACATACCCCGTATATGGCAACAATGATTGCCTTGAAATGTGGACAACCATCTGTCAGTTTCTGGTGGAATTAGGACATGAACAAAGAATAGATTGTCAGCTTGTTTATGCAAACTGATATATTGTACAAAATATGATCTGGAAGGTGGATATTAAACTCAGATTGGCAAGACTCAGCTGTGAGGCTGGCCATATATTTCAGGACTATTGGCCAAATATAAGTAAGGGTAGTTCTACAAATCTAACCATCATATTGAATTAGATTTAAGTTGTTGTTTCAGAAGATAAGACTATACTGATTCTTTCTGCTAAAAAAAGAATCCAATTGATGTCTTCTTTGTGTTTATTCATTATATAAATTCTAATTTATTATATTGTCCCAAAACACAAAATTGAAAAGAATGGAAGACATATTAAAAATTATGTCAAAATTGACTAAAATGAGATTGTTTTAAATTTTCATATGATGCTTCTAGTAATAAAGAGAAATAATTTAGTTTACTGAAATGAATATTTTACTATTTAATTCTAGAACTGTTCAATGAAATATGACAATGCAAAGACAATAAAATATTTCAATTAGAAGTAATAAATACTTTTTCCTGCTTAACAAGTAACATTTTTAGATCTTAATCAAACTGACATTCTGTATGGAATTTCTCTTCAATTTGACTTATTCAGGTGATTTTTTATAACCAAACCATCGTCTAGAATATTAAATTAAGGGCTTCATGTATTGTTTTTCTGATTTCCTGTGATGATTAGGATTTATACTAAAATTCATACCTTCCTCTCACTTTCCAGCATTCACTGATTAATTAATTAAAAATGAATATTTTTGGCTACCTTCAGTGGCCTGCATCAAGTTAAGGAGATTCTATATAGAAATGTCTATAGCAGGTTCAAAGTTTGGAATAATGCCATTTTTCCAAACTTCAAACCTGCTATAGACATAAGATATAGAATCTCCTTAACCCAACGCAGGCCACTGAAGGTAGCCAAAAATATTCGTTTTTAATCAGTGAATGATGGAAAGCGAGAGGAAGGTGTGAATTTTAGTATTTAGAAGATAGTTCCAGCTTTAGAATCAACAAGTTGACTAGGGTTTTACATAAATTGAACTTGTAATGAATTCAAAATGATAATCTTGTCAATCTTAAACCATTTTATCAGTTACTGAAAAAGTCAGAGAAGTTTGGTTTACATTTTTATTTAAAGAATCATTTTGAAAAAAATTATTTTATGATGTTTAATATTCTTCAGTGTACTTCTCAGTTATTTTCCTTGTGAAAAATGACATTTTTCTTTCTTGTAGAACAAAGTATTTTTATATTTAATATTTAATCAGCATTTTCAAGATGAATTTTTCAAGAATTATGAAAAATAAAAAAGCACAATTGAAATTAGTACACTTGGCACAAAATGTCCCAAGTGTACTGATTTGTTTATGAAGACTACATGCACTTTCAAATCTGAAATTCTTTTCTATTTAATTTGACCAATTATAGAATCATGCCAGGCTTTCTATATGCAATATGTAATGTCACTTAGTTTAGAAGAGCAGAAGTTGTTGCCAGATTTATTAGAAATCATCGTCTCATTTTTTTTCATAAACACTTTTAATCAGTACCTGTGGAATTTATGGAAAGTTTTATGATACCTATTTACCTAATTCTTTAGTTAAATAAACTATATATTATTAAAATTCCTATATTTTTCAAGTACTTTTAAGGATTTTATGGTTGGAAATATTTTTAAATACATTTTTACAAAGTTTTATAAAATATTCAAAGACTGCTTCATCTTACAATAAATTTATCCATATGTTTTGGTTACCAATATTTTTAATAAGACTTTAACTGAATTTGAAAAAGCTATTAATTGAAAGCTATTGAAGAAATATGTTCTGTTTTCTAACTTTTAAAATTATAATAAGAATTGTATGTATTAAATTATTCTGATAGAAGGATCCACTAAACACAGTCTGCGTAAAAAAGCATATTTCTTCTTTAATTGTTATTATATAATAAATAATATAATATTTCCAATTCATCTAATTTTGAATATTAACCTCTCCAAAGACAAATTTTTTAATGTAAACAGATTTATTTTTAAGAAAATTATTAAAGGCTAATTGCACAGTTGATAAGAATTACATTTTCTTGAATTTAACAGGGAACACAAACGTGATGTTTTTGTTGCAAGGCACTCTAAAATGCGCATTTTTATTTTAATAAAATGAGTAAAAACAACTGATAATACTTTCATATTAAAAGATAATCAATCATGCAGTAAATATTTCCTCTATAATAATAACAACAGTATTAATTTGAGTTTCCTTAAATAATGAGCCCATTTTTATGTAGCTTAAACTGCTTATCAATCCAAACACACATATCTTAAAATGTTTACAAAATTAAAAATATCTAAACATTCAAAGTATATATTGCTGAGATTTAAAGAAGCACAAACTTACGAATTCAATTCTTAACAAAATCCATATCCCATCTACACAATATAATTAGTGTATTAACCCATTGTGCTATTTAGACAAACCGTAAATTATATTTAGTTATAGTTTTTAGAAATATTTTAAATGGTTTTGCTAAATATTGTTCTTTAGTTGCTTTCTTTTGAGTCGAAGGGCCGAGCATTAGTGGACGTTGTCTAATTTCATTAAATTTTACACAGTTTACGCATTTTATAATTCAAAATTTCTCGATGTTTCGTCTCTACTTACGATATTTATCATTCATGAAGCGATAAAGGTTTTAAGGGGGTCGAATTTTGTTGGACGTCCGAAGAGAGGAGGTAACGGAAACTGGGACAAGAGGAGGCGTATACATTTATGGACAACCCCTACGTAAAATTTTTCTCAATTTCCTCCCATTGATTATATAGCAATTTTTAACTCTCGACAGATGTCTATTTTTGCCATTTGAATACACAGTTTCAGCAAGCACCCCCCCAAACGTAGACGTTTGGGGGGTGCTTGCTGAAACTTCTATCGGGTTCGAGTCGGGAATGCACGCCAGTCAATCCGTAACTCCTACTTATAGACCATTTAAACGTTTTAATTAGCACGGTGCACCGGGGCACGCTTTCGTCGATAAATTCCGAACGGCCCGCCAATTTTTTTCTTTATCAAATGGTAAAAAGACATCACTTATTCACCCATTTACAAACGCAACAGTCATTTCACCATTCTATTTAAATGCTGCCCGTACCGTTCCGATCCCTCTTCTCGATGTTGCGACGAGCAACTATTTTCTAATGTCGTGCCAATAGTATTGCTAGTCCTCGGGGCCATCGAGATTAAGAAATTTTCTCTCTCCACTCAATTCGTTTCTAATTTTTAGCCTACTTTAATTCAGAATGGAGCGTTTTTACCGAGTCATTAGATTGTTTGGTCGTCTGGGTGAATTTTTAAATTTAGTTCTGGCCTAATTCGCTCTACAAAAATTGTCGATTACGTTAACAAGTCTATTCAGTTTTGGAGCAATTTGTCTGTTTGAGAGGCCCCTTTTCCAACCCAGTTAGTGATAAGCCGCATCCGTCTGCTTTCCAGCACTTAACTTGTATAACTAGACTGACAAGTGAGTACAGTCGACCCCCTATAACACTGTTGATTATTCCGTTTTATACAAATTCCATGTTGTACGAGTCACTTAGATTTTACAAATACGTGAGCCGTTCACAGCCCGGCACACGTATTTGTAAAATCTAAGTGACTCATACAACACGGAATTCATATAAAACGGAATAATCAACAGTGTTATAAGGGGGTTGACTGGTAGTCACAACAAATGTAAAAAGTTTAAAAGCCTGTCATTTTCGGATGTGTCTTTATTTTCCAGCCAGGAATCATAGTCGTGCACGATGCTTTGTTTTTGACTCCGGACTTAAGTAATTGGTTGCTACTATTCTATTTCCACCAAATCAATAACTGGATAAGAAAATAAAGTATAATAATAATTAGGCTATACATTAATTAGTGTTGTGTAGTTAAGCTTTAATTCGATAGACTAACTTTTTCTCGTATATTTCATTTAATTTACAATTAAAAAATAATTTAAAGTAATTTCCTGGCTACGCAGAGGAGTACTTTTTAATTTTCGAGTGTAGATTATCTTTCTTTCTCAAACAACGAATTATTACGTTTAAACAGACGATGATAAATTCTATATATTCGCTATGGATATCGTCGGTAACGATATGTAAATTGTAATTTTTACAAAGGCACTGTTAACCGACGTTCGCAACAGAAAACAGAAGTTGCCTTTGATTTCCTGTTTATTCGTAGATCTTAATATAAAAGTCCCTATTAATCTTATACCGCATTAGGATTATCTGGCAAAAACAAAACTATTACAATTTTTCCCATTCCCGAAAATTGAATTTGACGGAAAACGTTTGTAATATTTTTCAGGTTGACATCCATCACATAACGTGGGACGAGTTCCAGGATCTGCTGACCGAGTTGTTTTTGGACGGAGACATCCGACGGGAACGGATAGTCACCCTCTTTTTCTTTTGTACCGATATCATGATCAGGGCGCTGAAGGAAAAAATCGCCGACAAAGTCAAGTGTCTGTTCGTCTGGTCACTGCGCTTCATCTCCGAGAAGGTTTGCACCTGGGTGCAGCAGCAAGGAGGATGGGTAAGTGTATTTCCGATTAAAAATTAGTTCGAACAGTTCGGTTTAGTTATAGGCCTATATATTGTAGCCGAAGACTAGTCGAATCCAATCGATTGCAGTTGTAATTTTTGACGGCAATAGACAATAAAATTTAATTTTCGCAGCGGTATTTTAGAGCCGCGGTCGTTAAATTAATTAAATCGACAGTAGGCCGGCAGAACGGAATTTTTAAAGAAAAAAGACGAATGTTTAATTTTCTAACGTATTTTTCAGGGCGTCGTCCTAGGCAATTACGTGCCGAAAGCCGTAATAACCATCTGCGCCCTGACCGTGGCCGTCTTCACCGTTTTCTACGTCTGGAAGAAGACCTGACGGGCCCTCCGGACACACCACGTCGAACTGTAAATATGTGCTTGGACGCGGCCGGGTCCACGTTTTTTTTTTCTATTAGTTAAATCTTTCTACGTCTCGGGAGCGACGACGGACAAAATCTTTTCTCCTCCTCCATTATCCGTAGTACAGTCGTTTTTCGTACGCGCGCCAGAAGAGCCTCGACACTGCCACGGGTCGACCAGACCTCCGATTGGAATCCATCCGAAAACTTCCTGCACAATTGGAGGACACTGCACAATTTATCTATGCACAGTTTTTGTAGTCTTTTTCCGTCGATTGTTACTCGCTTTTTCTAACTTTTTTGATACGACTTTTTAAACTGTAAGAAATTGAAATTTCCCGTCGTCTCTGGGACGGCCGGATTTTTTCTTGCAGCCCCAGGGACGACGGTCGTACTCACATTAATTGTGACAGTGTAATTCCCATTCCATATATTAAAAACTGTTCAAAAAATTGTTGGTTTGCTTGTCGTCGTTACGCGTTTACCAGTGTTCAAAATTTTAAGCGCTGGGAATTAAATATTTCCACTTTTTAGCGCAACTTACGAAAGAATGGAAGTTCTTGGCGTAATTTTATGCCGGAATAGTTTGTTTTCCCATTCAATTTTAGCGTAATTCCATACGTCCGGAACGTCGTGTCGGATCTCTAACGTTTTTACCAATTTATTTCGGAACGTTTCGTTTAATCGGCAATTTTTTTAAACAAAAATTGCAATGTGACGACATTGTAACGGATAGACTCGGATGGGAAAAAACCGGGTGAGAATTTTACGCCGGGCGGAATATCGGCCGCAAGAAATTAGTTTATTTTTCTTAAGCGTAATTTCTGTAACACGAATTTTCACTCAAGGGCGTAGATGCGGGGGAGGAGCCGTGACTATCTTCCACGCATTCCTAACTTCTTCCGCCCCGTGCCGATCCGAGTACCTGTGGGCCGACACTTCGAAATCCGTACCGAATACGGTTCTGGAAGATTTTCCAAAGTGACGTTATGGAAAAGATTGGTATCTACGGAACCCAGAAATCTTTCTTACCTGACTCGGTATTTCTCCAAGGCCAAATGTCTGTTAGTGTGAGCGTGATTTATCACCACCTCCCCGTTGGCCTGCGGACGTATTAATCGGTTAAATCTGAATTTTATTTTATTTAAATGTAAATTTATACGTACCGGTACGGGCCAACCTTCCAGTTCCAACCCGAAAGTCGGATCGCGCGGTAAAATTTTCCAGTACAGTTTTTCGGAACGCTGGTTGGTCAAAGACACTTCCTGGTGTTTGGACTTAGAAGCGTAGCGTACCGCGTCGTTTAGATCCGAATACAGCATCAGCTGGAAGGGGGAAAAGAACAATGCGATTTGACAATGATTTTCCATTAGCCCGCGCCGGTATCGAATTTCGCTCGACCACCGATTACAGATTTAGTAATTTAGTAAGGTAGACTGCTCTGCTCTAAAATTATGTCCCCGTCGTCCTACCAGACCACCGACCAAACACTAGAAATTAGACTTAATGCGCGCTCCCTCCCGCTTTTTTCCGAGAACGATCGAAACCCGTCGGGGCACACCATATGAAAAGCGAATTTTGAAAATCCGACCGTGGTAATTCGCCCATCGGGCGATTTCCATTTATTACTTACCCTAATTCGGCCGCGTATTGCCTATTGTCGGATAACGCGGGCTTATTTTATTACTTTTCGCCATCCTCGTCACTTCCCATTTGTTTTAATACTAATTCGGGTATTTAATTAAACGACCGCCCGCGATCTCTGTCTTTTAACGGGCCCGACGTCGGCTTAGGCACGATCCGAAATTTCGATTCCAAGTCTTACCACCGCCCCCAAACTTATCGAGAAATCGTATTACTCCATTTTAAAAACATTCTACGACTAAAATCGATTTTAAAAATCGAGTAATTTCCGCCTAACGTACGCATGTACGGAAGCCTTTTTTGATTACGTACGCGGGTTACGGCTGGGGAATTTTTCCCCGGATCCGGAGAAAATTTGGGTCTCCGTAGTGGTTACTATCCCCATACGTTATCTCAATTATTTTTACCAACAAAAAATAAAATCCGAGCGTATTTCATTAACATAGAGACATTTTACGTATTTTACTTATTCAAAAAAAATTGGTTAAAGGTGCTCGACGGCCCTAATTATTCATATTTTAAAGCAAAACATTCCCCTGGATTAGGGTTTAAGATTTTTCGCCGCCGGCACCTTTCGAATTCTTAAAATGCGCTCTCGAACCTCGACGAAAAATTAGTGTTTTTATTTATTTAATAATACTTACACCCCCGCAGGTATCCAGATTAGAAAAAGTCACCTTCTCTCCAAACAGAATAGGTTCGGATTCCTCGACTTTGGCTCTTAAAGAAAAATAGAAGTAATTGTAGGCTATTTTTTAAAACAATGTCTTAATGTTAATTAGAATGGTTACGATTATTTTTTTACCCGGGCGATGGCGTGCGGATAACGATGATTTAAATTTATGCTAATTAGATGCGCGTTCGGCCTCGGGCTAATCTAGCGAAGATAACGCTTTACGACCGTTGCCTCCGTGTAAACACGCGTTTCGGTCACTCCCGATTTACCGGGTTGTTAATCAGCCGGCGCGCGTCGTACTAGTTAAACATCGCACCTTTTTTTTTTTAGTCTCGAACTACAAATACTCGTTACCGATCGGGTTTTTGACAGGGGGAACGAGTTTCTGCCTTAGCCATTAATAATACAAAGAATCAGTCGCCACTCGATTATCGGCCCGATTTTTTATACGCGCGGCATATATATCTTTTATTAATGCCGCCGGTAATTGTCGGAATATGATTGCCGTAGAGGGGCAGTGCCGGGAGGCACGCCCACGATAAAGAAAGAAGTGGAGAAATAACGGGTTCGACCCGATAATAACTTTCTAGGATCACTACCGAACGGACGCGAGTGGAAAAAAAAGACAAAGGAGAGAAAGGAATTGTTTCGCGGAACGTTGCGTGACGCCATAGGGTAAAAGGACAAATTCGAAAAGTCTAACCTAATCGGACGGATGTGACGTACGAAGCTATGAGAAGACGCCAGATGACGATCGGTTTAATAGGAGCGAAAGACACCTCGACATGACTATTTCATGCCGTTCCGATCTTCAATATTTCATCGTTAGTTTCCGATGGAGAAATAAAACGAAAGAAAAAAGAATTATAGATTCTTAATTTGTCACGCCCGTTACCGGGGAAGATCCCGAGATATCGTACTGCATAATAAATGAAACAAATGTACTCGAGAAAATCAAAATGTGATCGGAGCCGGGCGTAGAAAACTTCGCTACACGTGGCGTGACTGCCTCCCTCAAACATCCTCGGTCGGGGAAAATTAGATAGAAAATTCCGGTTAACCGTTTTCCACACGCGTAATTTAAAGGCTTAATTCGGTAAAATCGACGGAAAAAAGTCTACTTGTGACGTTTTTTGTTTTCTGTCGGCTAATGGAAGGCAAAAAAGATGACTGATCGACGCCCCCTACCGAGAATTACTCGTATCGATCTATTGTGTTCGAATTCCGGATACGGTGTTGGAGCCTGGCCCGTGTACCGTACGTTTCCTTCCAACGGTGTGACGGATCGTTGACATCCGATTACTTCTTTCTTTGTGTTACCGGGACCTCCGATAATAAATAGAAAGACGAGTCGGTAAGCGAGAGAAAACAAATCTCGCTCGTCACGCCACGCGTGATTCCGCGGTAAGATGTTCGTGTGTGACGTATTAAATGCGTCCGAATCGACCTTAATTAAAATCGTAGTGACTATATATTGTAACGTGTAGCGTTAATTCTACCTTTCAAAAATTTTACCGTTTTTCCAACGATAATTTTTGTTTCTGTTTTTTACGTCAACGATCGGGGGGGATGAAATGAGTTAAAGATAGGAAATGTCCAGAATACGGATCGTTCTTGTGACAGATTTGTTATTAAAGCATTGGTCATTCACCCGTTCTCGAGAAACGGAGGGATACACCCTTAATAATAATAATAATATAGCCATTCGGTCGACCGCTGAGGAAAAAAAGACCGCGTTAAGGACTAAAACTTAATCATTGTAACCGAGGAGAACCAATAACCGATTCGAGACGAAACTCATGAATAATAATAACTATTGTGATTAGAAGGCAAATTCGTCTAGTTTGGCACCCAGATTGCGAATCTGTTTAAGCGACAGAAATCAATTTCCATCCTTTATAATATTAATAATAATGCCAACCGCCAACCCGATTATCATAATTACGATGTTTACCGGCAAGATCGATTTAGATATCAGAAGTAGGACTGTCGATGGCTCGCTTACCCAATACCGGACCAGTTGTTGGCTAATAATTGTAGTTCCGGTAATAACTTTGTGATGAAATTCCCAAACAGAGTTGGTCATCGGTCCGTTTCCGACCGGTGATTATTGTTTATGGAAGGGTCCGACTATTCCCCCGCGGCGTGACACGCCAGTTGTAAACGAGACGCGCTTCCGACGGTAATCGAGGTCGAGATGGTAGCTGACAATCGACCGAGATAAATAGATTAGGATCGACGGGTGTCCGAACTGACCACCGACCACCCGGGTCGAGTAACATTAACTGGACGGAATTGGTCATCCAGTTTCTCGTCTGCGGAAAGAACGTCCGACTCCAATAAGCTCCCCCGCCCTATCTACAAGTGTAAGTTCTAGCCGATGAGTGCCCACTGATTTGCAAAGAGTTTTTATCTCGGCCAGAGACTCTACTCGAAACCAAAAGACTTGGATCCGAACCCACGAATTTCTATGGAATCTTCTAATCAAACTTTACCGTATCGCCATTAGAAAATTTCTTAATTTATGTTGAAATGTGATGTGTTCGAAAACAAGACTATATTCTCGTATCGGGAGTATATACGGTACCTTTCCAAATTATTAGACCCGGGCAAAAAATTGATGATTTGCTAGTTTTTGATGCGATAATTCAATAAGTATGAAATTTTTTATAGGATTATTTTAAATATTTATGCTTATTATGTCTTATGAAATAGAAATTAAGTTTTTGAATATAATAGAATTTAAAAATTGAAAAAATTAGTATTTTAAATGACCACCCTTAACAATCAGTAGTGTTTCTATATCATGAAGAATGCTGTTTATACAATTTTTATTTTTGTTCTCATAGATGGGCTATGCTACCATACCTTAAATCAATAAGAAACCTCTGTCTCCTTTTTATAGTGGAAAGTTGATTTTTTTACATTTAATATTTTTATGTGGCAGCACTGTAAAAGTGTTTGGAATATAATACAGAATAAGAGTAACAAGAAAAAAATACTCATTCCTTAAACAATACTACATAATAAAACATAAGAAAATATAACAAAAAGTATGATTTTAGTCGATGGGTCTAATAATTTGTTAAGGTACTGCATATTTTTCTGTCTGTCCGATTTGGAATGTTGTTTCTTTCTTTGCTTCGTACTGTAATTGCTATTTATTAACGATTCGTCTACCTATTTTGGTAGTTCAAAAATGCCCAACTTACCGAAAAGGAAGTCCGTAACGCGTAATTTCGGGTACTTTTCTGATGACGAAGACGTTACGACGACAGGGCGACGAGTAGTAAGTGGCCGTTACCGAACAAGGAGAGGCAAACTCGTCGCATTCTTTACCTTCGTGGTCGGGAACGTGGGGACTGGCTGCCAAATACGCGTGGTCGACGGCGCAGGATTTGATGGACACCACGGATCCGTCTCTGACGTATCCGTCTTCTTTCGCGGGTGTTAGATTTACCTAAAATGATTAAAATAACGGTAAAAATTTTGTAGGCTTACACGAAATTTAAAAGAACGTTCACCTTGTAATTCTTATCCCGGTAACGTAATCGTTTCAAATCATCTTAATTAATTCAAGAATTAAAGAAAATCGAATTTAAGAATACAAGAAATTTTACTTAAATCTATAATTTAAAATTAATACGATAAAATAATATAATATAGATAATTTTACAATTTCTCAAGAGTAAAATGAAGTTATAAATAAAATGGAAATATTTTTTTCATTGTAAACACAATGTTTCCGGTCGGATGAAGATGTCGGAACGAGTAAGAAGAATGAATGATTTTCACGCTCAAATTTTCGCTGATATCACTGTAAATAATTGCAATATGCCATTTTTAATTAAATCTTTATTAAAAATCCAAGATTATCGATATCATTTCTTTACGCAATTCTACATTATTATAAATCTACATCAAATATGAACGAATTATTATAGTTGTTATAACTATAATAGATATAAAACAGAGAAATAGTAATTCGATTCTATAATTATAACAGTCTATTAATAGCATTTTTGCGAAATTTCTACCTATTGTATCATTCTATTTAATTTTATACATAAATTAATAATAATCTATATTCATTATCGGTAAAATATTTTACGTAATGCTATAGATATGTGTAATATTGTAAACGTTCTTCCTATGGGAATATTCGCAACGTTATCTACAAAATATTTTATTACTAACTCATACAACAAACTTTCTCCCGGATTTATCTCTAAGTGAATTTTCATTTCCCGCGTAATTTGTGCGCGAGTGTCAAAGGTCAAACCTGTTTAGGCTTTTAAATTTAGTTTCTTATATACTACCGTATCCTATTACGCATCCTATCTTAGGCCATTTTCTGTAAATTCTCTTAACTTCGGTAATGTGAATTTTTATTGCTGTAATTGCTTTAAAAAATAAACCCGTAAGCAGTAACATTTTTTTTTATTACTATTTAACTAAAAAGTATTTTGCCTAAGAATAATATTCAATTTAAATCGACTTATATTTAATTTCACATGCAAATTGCTAAAACTGATCGAGTTACTGATTACGCTTGTAGAATGTAAGCTTAACGGAGTTTAAGTTCGGCGACACTCCGGACAATCGTGAATTTTCCAGACCTCTTTTATATATTTTTATATAATGTAAGCGCGTATCGTCCTAAAACTTATTCTATATTGTGTATTAATACAATATCTAGGATTCTAGCTAGTACTAGATTCCGACCAAGATTGAGTAGCGAAAAGCATATAGGACCTATCTTATACAAACACCTGGAATGTCTACGCTTAAATAACGGTATTGAATAAACTAGGGCGTTTTATCTTAAAATTTTAAACGGTTCATGAAGTATTCTATGCTATCTTTATTATATTCAATTTTTCTTTAAATGTTAATTTCCCCAGATTTAATGTTACGGGTGCATAACTTATATAGATTTTACGAAGAGAAATCGTGTAAGAAACAATTTATAATAAATTTTCAGTTTTTCGACTATGTCGTCTTTCCTTGTAATTTAGCCGGAAATTCTAACAGTCGCTATCCTGATAAACAGAACGTTATTGTATGATAGTGGTAATTGGCGCAATAGCATCGTTACTTTTCAAAATACTTGTAATCTTGTTACCACCACCCAGTGTAATAATTAAATATTTAAGACATGGAAAATTGTCAAAATTATTAATTGTTTATCAACGTCAAATAAAAAAGGAATCATTTTCTAAGTATTGAAAATAGGAACCGTATCATAAGAATAATATAGACCTAATAACGAAAGACAAAAACTTCCAATTCGTGAAAGAATATAAGCGAATTAAAAAGAATAAACTATAAGTTTTATATACTAAATCAAAACAATTTCTCAAAGAACCAATTCTAAAAACATAAACAAAGATTTCCGTAGTGAGATAACTTTTTAATTTTTATTTTATTCAAGAAATAAAGTTGACTTTTCATATATTAATTTATATTAGACTATGAGTTAATTTAGGCTCAGACTGATCGTGTCGGAATCCGATTATTATTTATACGCCTAATTTTTAAATATGAATTCAAAATAACCACACTTGGCAATATGATTCTAACCAAAATACTATATAAACACTAAGAGAAATGAGGGCTTTGATGGAAAAATAATGAAAAGCAATCCAAATGACTAATATTTTTCAACGAGTTTTTAATGAAAACGAAATTCCAAGACACATAATTTATAGATTAATCAGTTTTGTTTCTGCTGTATCATGTAGTTTCAATGATGAATAACTTTATCTAGTGATAAAGTTGAAATGATAAAATAAATCGCTAAAATAAGTCAAAACGTGTAACTTAATTAAGGAAACATTCAAAATACTATATAATCCATTATTCCGATTGAAGTAATTTTAAGCTTAAGAAGGATGTAGAACTAAACTAGCTTAATTATAAATTTAATAAATTACATTAATATTTAAATTGGAATAACTTTATATAATTTCCAGGTCAAGATAAACAATCCTACTTTAGGTCCTGCAGGTATTAAGAGAGTCTTTTTCCAATCCACCATTGAATCCATGGTGGATTGGAATAAAGATCACCTGGAGAAAAGATTCGTTATTATTTTGAGGAGGAAAAAGTTGAATATAAAGTGAGGAACGTATACTTAGAACGTAAACTTTTATTTTAAAATTAAAGAATAATATTCGTAAAAATTATAATTACTTCAAAAATATGTAATTATTTCCTTATTGTTCTAATTAAAATTCATTTTGACGTAATATACTTAAAAAAGAACATTGCAGAATATACAGTATAATTATCACTTTACCCCATGCGGAGGTAAGATGACGAATCTCGTAGTGTAAGATTACGATTTCAGGAAGTAATATGTTTCTCCATAATTTTGTTTTTGGTAAACATTTTACATAAATTTACATAAAACAAAGCAATTCTTGTAAAATAACAGGACAAAATCACTCTCGTTAGTAATTTTTTTAATGTTACAACATCTAAATCTCGAGGACTTACCTTTTACAATACACTATACAACTTTTACAAGACCCTATACAATGTATATAGCTTTTTATTTGTTTTTCAAAACCACAGTGCAGCATAATAATCAACACTTGGCATAACTCATTCATTTATTACTTATTTATTATAACTCAACAAAAGCTGGAATAAATGAATGAGTTATGCCAAGTGTTGATTATTACGCTGCATTGCGGTTTTGAAAAACAAATATAAAGATACAACACGGTTTCGAAATATGGAAGAATGTATATAGCCTATATTATAGCTCACTGATTCTCAAAGTGGGCGTTTCTCGAACCCTATAAGCGGTGAATAAATCTAGGGGGCGAAAAGAAGTGGGCAGCAGGGGTACTGAACGGTGACCATAGGCGGAGGGTGGGCTCACTGACAACCTTTCCTTTCCTCTGTTTAAATTGGTAAGAAGAAACATTGCGTTTAATGGTTTCCAGATGTTGACAACAATGTACGGTAAGAGCACAAAGTGTGAGTTTAAAGTTTGTTTAAGTTATGTCAACGCAACACTTGGGCGATCTGCTAGGGCAGTGGTTCCCAACCTTTTTTCATTAGCGTACCCCGTGACATGTCATATCTCTAGATTGTACCCCATGACATGTCATATCTCTAGATTGTACCCCTCATTTAAGAAATTTAGTGAGTAAGCGTTATTGTTAATTTTACATATTGTAACTTTAAATTAAAGAAAAAAAACCTAAAAGAAAAAATGTATAATAAAGTTGTGATTGTTGCAAGGAACATTTTTTATCTAATAATTTTTTAATACTATTAGTTTGTGATACATAATATATTATTTTTTCTGCCATAATAACTAACTTTTTTCTGTACCCCTAAACAACCTATCGCGTACCCCTAGGGGTACGCGTACCACAGGTTGGGAATCGCTGTGCTAGGGGGATGCCTTCTGGGAGATCTTTTTAAGAGAAACTGGCCCCTATTTAGGCGTTACAGATGTGGAGAAAACCCGGAAAACTCCACGTGGCCAGCCCGTCCGAGCGAGGCGTGAACCCACAACCGAACTCCCAGTGTTCGGGGTATAAAGACCGCTTGGCCATTGGTGGGCACAAAGTGTGAGATTCAGAGAAAAGTTTTCCTTACAAGATTTTCAAGTCTTTCTCATGCAAAGGAAAAGGGGTTAGGGGGCATTGAGGTATGAGTGGGGGCGTTGAATATGTGGATCGAAAAAGTTTGGGAATCACTGTTATAGATAAATGTGTAAGTACTGTATACAAATTTCTTTTACGTTCAAAATTATTTTCTACAGGGATATAAAGTTTCGGTGCACATATATTGATTTTATTTTGACCCTTTCTTTTCGTTTACCTCTTTTCTTTAATATAATAATTAAATTTGCTATATGATCCCTAATGTATATTTTGACCCAGACTCCGTTACCTTCTGGATGGCCCTATCAATACGATAATGACATCAATTCTTAAAAATGAAAAATAAATAAACTAAGAACGTCGTCATTTCGCTCTACTTTACTCTGCGTATATATAAAATATCTAACAATATCGACGTATCTATCCGAGTTAAAAAATTTTAAATAGTAGAAAGAACTAATTTCTTTGCATATTTAAAAAAAATTGTATTATTTGTTATAATTTCTAAATTATAAGAATATTAATGAATAAAAAGAACGAATAAATTTATACGAATGTCTATTAAGTACGTAAACACCTAACTTTATTGCATTTAATAGTGCAAAATTATGAAACAGAACCTATAGCTTAAGTACTGTACTATATTTCGAAAAGCGTAACCTATAAAATAAGTATATTCTGCTAAATAGACTGCACTATAAAATATGAACTTTATGCACATTTTCTATTAGCCTATAAGTCTAACAATTTTTACCTCAACCTTATACTGTATTTCAAAATAAAAGTATTATTTACTGGAGGCTTTACTAATTCCCTATCGTTTGAGTAGATAATTAATCGTGCAAATCAACAAACGATAAATTTTTTATCGGTAATACCTACAAAATGTCAGATTACAATAAGGAAATAAAACAATTTTCGATGAGGCAATAAACAAAATTGTTATCGAATTGGAAATTGGAATTTTTGTTTTATGCCTTATGAAATTTTAAATTCAATCGAACAAGATCGGTAGACAAATTTTAACTCTCGATCTACAATACCAAATATTCCAAGATAAAAATACATAGATACAAATAAATACACGTAAATCTAATATAAAGCTTTTACAGCCACCGAGTAAAAAAGCTCACAACTCAAAATGTCAGTTTTGATCGAATTAAACAGCTTACACTTTTGTGTAGGCATGACTACTTATAAATCCATTAGATGAAAAGAAATACCTTCGGACCAAGTTAGTGACAATATCTTTTATTATCCAGCATTATATTTAAAGAGAGAATGCTCTACTTAACAGGATTAGATCACGGTGATGCAGCTCGTACCTTTTATTTTTCTTTCTTTTTTTTTTTTACCGGATTAAATCCAAAAGCACGGCTTTTGACATTTTCTTATAAGAAGATTGATCGAATATTTCAATCATTTTCTTTTAAAAGTTTTGTTATGCTCGAAGGAATACTGTCCCGAGGACTGATATAAAAAAAACTCAAAGATATAAAATAGCGGAACAACCGAATGTTAAGCGGAATAAACTTTTCGTTGACGAAGATAAGCTGCTTATAACTTTATTGCAATCCACATCATGTGTCTGTCTATGACGTCATTTAATGAGAACTACAATTATTTAGTCATATGTCGAAGTTGGGTTGGTAGCGATTGTTTGCCTCCGTTGCACTCGGGTGTCCCGCTGCGTGCACACATTACGTAGCCAATCTGTTCTAAAGCACCGTAGATTATATAATCTGTTTACTGAAACTAAGAGGAAACAATATTATTGTTAAGGCGAATATTCGAAGTATTATATCGAGAGATGGGAATTGAAAACAATCCAAGTTGATGTTCGAACTGATTAAAAATTTACGGAGCGGGGTTTTGTTAATCTTTATATAATTGCGGCGTTAATAGTTAGTGCATTGTTCCTCAGTCACATTCAACTCTCGAGAACGTCCCTAGAAAATGTCACTATTTTATAAAATTTGACAACTGAACATGTTGCGAAACGGAATGAATAGTTACGAGATTAAAACTAATTTTTATTTAATTTTTATTAATTTTTTATTAAAAGCTAAGACTAATTCCGTACTTACATGAAACCCGAGTAACTTACGTATAAATAGTTTAGAATATGGAATTAAAATAATATTTCACGAAAAGTATTATGAATATGAAAATTACATACATAATTACAGTAGCCTATATAGATAGGCCTACTTGGTAGCCAATGGCACATCGTTAGCTTAGGCCTAATAATCAAGTATACTGGCCTATTTGTATGGTTAAATACTACTCACGAAATACGATTAAAATAATCGTGCAATTGGAAATAGTTATATTCAAACTACGAACTGTTATTGTTATGCTGTATATATTGAAAGAGTGAATTAATAGAAGCGTTTGTCTTTGATAATTTTAGAGTTACTATAATAATTGAAGGCAAAATACGGAACAGACTAGCATTAAAAATATTTAAACAGCGGGGCAAAATAAAGAGAATTTATTCATATTTTTCAATCTAATAAATGTAGGCTTATAATACAGTAGAACCTCGAAAACTCGGCCTAATGTGGACCGAAGGGTGGCCGAGTTTGTGAAAATGCCGGGTTATCGGGAATGGGGTTAAAAAAAATAAGTACGAGTGTTTCCTCAAAAAATACTGTACTGTACTTGTATGTATTGTTTACTTGAGAATATAACAGAGAATAAACTGCCCAAATACCCTTAAACAAAGGAAAAGTACGTCCTTTATGAAGGCATAAAGCCTTTACTACATGAAAATGAAAATTAATGAATACACTGTGTACAGTAATTTACCTGATAAGACAGACCACAGAAAAATACTTTATGAGAGCTTTTATACTTTTATAAAGCTGTCTATAATGAAAATTAATTAACTAAGGATTTTTTTGCCCTGCCAGGGTGTGGTCGAGTTATCCGGAGTGCCGGGTTATCGAGAGCCGAGTTTTCGAGGTTCTACTGTATAAAGTTTCAATTTAAACTTTCCTTTGGGGTACAGAATGCAATTTTAAATATAAGAAAACTATTTTACCACAAGTACTATCGAACTAAAAAATACCTTATAATAAATGTGCGCATGGTTTCGAAGCAACAGAGCCGTTACATTTGCTTACAATATAATGTTGCCACCTAGTCGACAAATACAATAATAATTATAAAAAATTTAGCACCTTTTGTCAGATTTAAATCTAAGTGGTTATGATTTAACTACTAACTGCGCGATCAGTTGAAAAGTACGGATATTTTCTTTATTTTTCTAAGTACAACAAAGCCTTTAATTAATTAAAGTACGGAAGTACGGACTTATGGTAACCTAATAATTTATAAATTAGATAATTAAAACAGACAATAAATTAGTTTATCAATCTATCAACATATCGTCTAATTTTAAACTAAGAATGATTTAGCTCTTTATTTAGAATTATATAAATTTGAACCATTAATTAATCAAATCACACTGATCAAAAGAAATTTCTCAAAGATGGTGACGAAAGTACTGCCATCTGACGGTGAAAAATGAAAAAAAAAACAATTATAAAATTACAAATATTAATAAATAAATTACATTTATAACGGAACATAACCGTATGCAGAATATTCTACAAATTAAAACACAATGTTTGCAAAATATACGTAAATCTATAACGTTAAACATGCAAAACATTATAAATTTTTAATCACAATTACTCAATTTAAAACATCAGATTGACTAGATTAACGGAGTAATACGAATATTGTAATTAATTAAATTAAACGACACATTTAGTGATCAAATTGTAATTTAGATAAATAAAAAACATTGGTCTTTTTTTTAAAAAAATATAAATTTAAAAAAAATTATTTAGTTGTGAATTTGTCTAACAGATGGTGCCATTAACGAATATAATGTTCAACGATCGACAAGTAAAAATATTGAAATATTTAAAACCCATTTTGCCTTGGAGTGTATAAATGTATAACATTGAAACTATTTAAGTATGACAAATCTTTTCCATTATAATTCCGAAGGCCAATTGTATTTTAATACGACTATCACGAACCACTTAAAAAATGCCAATACCTGCGAAGAAATGTATGTGTATGTGTGTGGAAAAAAATACATGCGAATAGAGCTACGTGTAAAAAAGAGGAAAATATTAATATATTTTATATTAAAAAAATATTATTCATCTTACTGGTGTCAGGGCCGAATTTAGAATTCGATTTATTCTTTGCACTAATAAGCTTCCTTCTTCCTTCCTTTTTAGATATTCTTCCAATTTAGCCTAGTTAATAAAATAAAATTGGATTAATGTTAAAGATAAAATGTCGTGACAATTACTGCAAAAATTTGAAAAATGCTAAGGTTTGATCCAAGCTAAACATTAGTATTTTCCAATGGACTAGTTTTGAAAATTACTTGCAATTAGAAAAATAACCAAGAAACATAAAACACCATTTAAAAAAATTTTATTTATTGACCTTAAAATAAATCGTTATTATTAAATACATTTTATATATGTAATATAAAATTAAAAATAAATTTTAATTAAAACAATAATTAAAATAATGAATTACAATAATGTATTAAGTTGCAACATTATTCTGGTTGTAAAAATAAATATTTTATGAGCTTAAAGAAGGGAATAAAATATATTTTAAGAGTATAATCTAACATTAAATTTTATCTCCTTTTCTAAATAAATGTTAACATGTGACCTTTTCTATAGATTATTATTATGTATACATAGGCTAATACCTCATACAAAAGTTATCGTGAACGTAATTACACATTCATAAATACCGTTTCCAGGAATTATGCATTATTCAGCATGATTTGATAAATTCATCTCTTCTAATAACATTTTATTTTGGAAATTATTTAGGTTTATTTCGCTTATTCGTGTTCTTTCCCGTTTTTGTAAAGTTATCTGTTTATACCGAATTAGTTGGTTATAATTACATAATTAGGGGTAACTAATTTGACAAGAACATTTTGCACAGGGTGATGTCTTTGTACGTATATAAAAATATTTGTTAACATGTCTCATTTAGAATAATGCACTGTTAATAATAATAATTGCATATTTTATAATCCATGTTTTAATGAAAATAAATAATCATAAATAATTTATGTGAATCCCAGACTCCCAAAAAGTACTTTTTAGTGTTTCAAAAGGTAAAACAAAGATCTTAAAATTAATGATTATAAAAGCAATATAGTTTCTTTGTGTACTTTTTATGTTATCACTTTCAGATATCTAGCAGAAGACTAAAGCAAAATTAAGAAAAACCAAGAACAAAAATGTAAAAATTNAATTAAATTAAATTATATTAGTTAATTATATGTAATAATAAAGTTAATGATGTGTCATGAACGTTAATTTCAAATTCAATTTAAAATATAATTTATTACTGATGAAGGGCAAATACTGATCTAATTATTAATACCATCTAAAACGTTATCGTGTGTAAAAGTATATTTATAGCGTAGATTAAACAAAAACAAGAGTTTTACATAAGCTTTTATCACAATAATTTTAACATTTTATCATAATTTTATTCAATTACGCATTAATTTATTTTTAAATTCAAAATTATTAATAAACGTTTCGAAAATATAAAATTTACGTTATGAAATTATAAGATAAAGTATGAATTTTTATGTTGTATTTGTTCTAATGTACAGTATTATGTTAAGAAATATAATGATAGCTTATTATATATTAAATAATTGTGAATTTTAATTGGTAGAATATTGATAAAATGTTAAAATTTGGTTTGGAAACGTATTGATTTATAAATTTTCAAGGCGATATCGTTGAAGATAAAAATTCTTTCACCCCAAAAATAGAAGCACTCATAAAAAAATACATTAAAATCATATAAAAATTAATTTTTTGATTGTAATAAAAACCATGTATCGAATATTCAGAATTTTCTCGTTTTATATAATAAAATAGTTAGTATATTGCTATAAAACGATATGACATTAATTTATAATATAAACTGTGTATCTATGCATTGTTAGAAAACATCAATTATTATTATTCATCACGAATAACTGATTTAATTTACTACCCAGTCACGTCATGTTGTGAATACAAACTATCAAAATAATAATTTTATTTCTAGTCATTAAAATAGTTTCCTCTTTTCCTTTTTATATCTTAAATATGTTTGTATCCAGCACGAAATATGTTCAAATAAATCTTGTTAATTAAAGTAGTAATGCAGTTTAAAATTAAAAAATAAATTATATGTTCAAACAAAATAAGTCAACATTTATATTATATTTTAAATAGCAATTAGTAAGTAAAGGCTAAATTATTTTAAATGAATAAAATTATAATAATAATAGTTATAGATGAGGTTGTTTCGCATCAGTCAAATTATTAATTGCGTGTGTTAAGGGACGTCTTGAAATACGTCAGTGGGAATTTGGCAGGGTAAAAAGTATGCATCTATCTAATATCCAGTAAGTTTCTTAAAGTTACCTTCTCAGTTAATGATTGAGAAATGTAAGTGAAACCGTTAACATGTTTACTTTACATTATTATTACTGTATTTTTTTTTTAACTTAGAAGTTTCAAAATATTGTTAAAGTAATAATGTAGACTTGTAACTTAGATTTTTAAACGTTCCATCATTAATATTTTTTAAAAATCATCGGTTAGTCCAGCGGTTGGTCTGTCTGTTTAAATTTTGTGTAAAGATATTGAAAAAATGATTGTTATTCGTTAAAATTTTAAATATAAAATAAATAATATTCAACATTTTCATATAATTTTTTAAAGGTTTTGAGAAATTTTCGTTTCAAATGTTAAAAGTGTTTATTTTTTAACGCATTGGTTCATACCGCATTAAAAAATAAAATGGTATATGCCTATAATTAATAAATTACTTCTTTAAGTTAATATACACTCGAATAAACTTACAAATAAAAATTATTTAAAATTCTAGAATGCAAACAAATATCTAACTTGTAAGTGCAAAAGAAAAATGTATCCATACGTAAAGTTATATGTTCAGATGTGATAGTGAAAATAAATAATATTTATAATTATAAAAAATTTAAATAATCATGCTCACTAAAATAAGTTTTATTATTAATTTAATACGTAACAATGACGAAGAAGTTTAACTTTTTAAGAAAAAGTTTCTTTCCTATTTCTATAACTGTTAAACGTGTGTGTAGAAGAGTTAATCGCTATATAAGAGTAGAATGAGATAACACGAAATAATCCATTAATTTAAAAATTCTGACCCATCAAATGAATGAGTGTAACGTACAGGATAACTCCTTCACTCTGTGTTTTATTACTATTATATTATTATGGTGATGAATTATTGTGCAAACTTATACGAATAGAATGCTGACTAGTATATGTAGTAACCTTTCCGAGTCAAGCATATTCTGAATAACGAATTCTTTCCGAAAACTTAAGATATTCGGAAATATGGCGCGGGATATGGAGTGTTGCTTCCTGAAGTTAAAGAATGATGATTCTGTCCACCTTAAATGTTAAGTTCATGTTCTAGATTTTTGGGATTCCTCGAGGGCGTGGTCTACTAAATAATAACTATCAAAATTATTAATATAGCGGCGAAATATTGTTATGATTGTTCGGACTTACTTGGTTAACTAATAAATTCTAAAAATATAAAGCATATTAAACGTAACAATAAAATTAATGTATTCATTTCATGCAAATATATAATGTGTATTAAATAATTTAACACTTAATATATCGAAATATCGTTTAGCTTAATACAAATTAAATACAGTTATTACTCCTAATTTATTCAGAAGAAATATTGGTCATATTATTTGGATCGATATTTACATCGAATTAAAGTGATTTATATACTGCGGAATAGTTTAGTTACTGAAACGATAAACTACATTCATTGATATTATGTAACAATCTCAGAAAAAATATTTTGTTACGAAACAAAATTTTATATTTCGCTTTGTGATCGCATTTATAGTATTCACATTATATAAATAGGACCATAACCACATCATGATTGATAAATACGTCAGCCACACGAAACATCCATAATCACATCCAGATTGACGCCCTCGAGATTCCATCAATCAGCTTTTGCAGAAGGATTTTTTGAGTAGAAAATTGCTTCGTCGTGCATTTTGAAGTAGACTTTCGCTTCTTCAGAATCTGGCGAACACGGCCGTGTGAATTTTGAAGTTTCTTCCCAATGATTTCGTCCTCCAATTGGTTCCTCTTCCTTTTAGCTATTTTCCTCCTGTTTCGACCATTTCCCGTTCTTCTTCTGCAGGTTCTTTAACGTTCTTGATCTACTCTTGAAATGATGCTGTACACTGTACGAATCCCTATTGTACAGAAATGTCCAGCTGTACAAGACTTCCCATTTTCGCAATTTTCACTATAAAATCTACAAATTATATTTCTTTGATCGAATTCATTTAATCCTTCCATTTTTAAAATGGAACATTATTTGCGTAAACTTTTTCGATAAACAAAATCAAAGACATTGATATCAAATGAAGGAATGTGTGCTATCTCGCGTGCATTTACAATTAGCCTATTCGAAATTATCGGAAAACGCTATTAAAATTTGTGTAGATTTTTAGGATTTACGCCTATAAGTTCTGTTTAATTATATTAAATATAATACGTTTCGAATGGATATATTAAAAATAACTAATAGAACGTGTAAAAAAGAAGTTAAAATATTATTGAATAATTATATCTTCAACTTCTTTTTTAATCGCAATGTGATCTATTGTTTTTAATATATCCATTCGAAACGTGTCATATTTAATACGAGTAATTATTTATTGTGACATGGTCACAATATCGGGCTGCAATTTCTGATCATGTTTTTTTTTATAATTTATTTAATTTAAAACATATCCTCTCTACCTCAAATTAGTAGTGTCTTGCCCTTGTACAGTACATCATACTTTTCCTGTTAGGAATAGAGTCGTACCGGTTATCTAACTAACTCCTTTCAGGGGAAAATATTTGAATTGGAATAAAATGACTTCCGGTATAAGCCGGAAGTACTGTACATATATAGTTAATCTTTCATCTATCTAACACCGTTCTCGAGATTAAAAAAGGACATTGGGAATTTTTAGATCTACAATTTTTTTTTCAAATTAAAGATTTATATTATTGGAAGGTGAGTGTAATATATAGATTTCGATGTGACAAGGTAGATCTTTTTTGCATCAATATAAGAACAATTTAGACCATTAAAATACAGAATAAAAGAACATTTGATATCAATACATTTA